AAAAACGTCAGAACACCATTGGCAATGGACACCTGCTCCAATTCGAGATTGCTAGGTCCCAGAGGTGTCATATGCAGGATGGTAAAAGTACAGGCTCGCTTTATATTGAATCTACTGCAATAGGTCCTAGTAGAAAAATTCTCGAGAAGCGTTCGAAATATCTGCTATTTACCTACCGAAAAATGCGAGATTACGTACGACGACGCTAGTCCATTTATGGTGAGAAATGGACCCACACGTCGATAACTCTTGCCGGAAAGGGGGGAGGGGTGGTGATCCTCATGATCTTCTCCTTTTTTTGCATGGCGCTTTGCTTCACTCCTCCGCGATATTGATAAATCAGCTTTTCGCTTACGTTTCGACTGACTCCTTCAGAACTTGAAGGATCGAAGCAGTTTATGATCACCCAACCGACGTCTCTTCTACCCTGCTGAACTTCTGGAACAGTTCAGGTCATTACGTAATCATGAGAGGACTCACTGCATCACGGTCCGCTCATAGAACACCTTTATGCTGGTGGTAGGACCACTTGGGGCTGTTCCCCATTCGGGATCACTACTGGAAGGCTATCCTTGTACAAGGCTTAACTCTCGCAGTACTCTGACGCATTCTTCCCCGGTGCTTTTTTTTATTGCTGACCTGGATCCAAGTGCCTCGAACATTTTGAAATCCCTTGGAAGATCAAAGTGAGTCTCGAGAAAGGACCATTCTTATGACAACATGATCTCCTTCGAAGCAAACTTCAGCAGGGCAGCTGAGATCGTGGTTGGGTTGCCACACATTGCTTCGATTAATTACGCTCCGAATTAGGCGATCCCTACTCCCGAGAAAAAAAAGCGAGAGGAAGAACCTGCTCTTTCAGAGTTCGTTCAGCAAATTCCAGAGGTAGATTTGAGTTCACCGTGCCAGGGGACGTACAACGGTGTGCACCTCATAGGAAATGGCCGGACTGACCTGTTGACCTTTCCTGGTAAGAGGAAATGTTCCTTTTCCTCCTCCCTTCCCTGCACTCCTATAGCTTACCGTTCAGTGGGGTGGAGAAAGTGCTGCCACAGGCGGACGGACAGACTTGAAATCAGATCTGAGCCCTCATTCGGCCTTGCGAAGTTCGCAACCAACCGAGATCGATTTTGGTTGGTTTTTAATATTCTCGTTCGAGAGGTATGACGCACTGGTTAGAACATCGACTGTCCCTCCTAACTCCTTGCGCCCGCCAAATTGCGTCACCATGTTACTGCGACTCTAACGGAAGCAGAAGGTGTGGTGCATACCGTAGAAATCGGTCAGCTGATTTTTAACGATCAGTATAATTTGACATCGCCCCTCTCCCCCGCCGATAAATGATGTTCAGCTGTGGCACCAAAACTCAAAAACTTTCTCGAGCAGAGGAAGCGGTGAACGAATGTCGCATTATGTAATGAGGTAGATTACTCATTCACCACATTCAACTCCTTTGCCACCTGAAGTCCCACCCCCTTTAAACAGGTTTACATTCATCCACCTCCTTACTTCGTCACCACCTCTCACTTGCAGCTTCATGGAGACTCTACGATGCAGTATTGAGAAAATTGTCGCTTCCTTTACAAAAACCATCTTGCATGAAATTGATCTTGTCTGACCGCAGAAAGCCGACAAGTCAAGATCGGAAGAGCG